ACACACACACACACACATATACATATATACATATATACATATATACATACATACACAGTGGGTACGGAAAGTATTCAGACCCCTTAAAATTTTTCACTCTTTGTTTCATTGCAGCCATTTTCCAAAAATCAAAAAAGTTCATTTTATTTCTCAGTAATGTACACTCAGCACCCCATCTTGACAGAAAAAAAACAAATGTAGAAATTTTTGCAAATTTATTAAAAAGAAAAACTGAAATATCACATGGTCATAAGTATTCAGACCCTTTGCTCAGTATTTAGTAGAAGCCTCCTTTTGATCCAATACAGCCATGAGTCGTTTTGGGAAAGATGCAACAAGTTTTTCACATCTGGATTTGGGTATCCTCTGCCATTCCTCCTTGCAGATCCTCTCCAGTTCTGTCAGGTTGGATGGTAAACGTTGGTGGACAGCCATTTTCAGGTCTCTCCAGAGATGCTCAATTGGGGTTAAGTCAGGGCTCTGGCTGGGCCATTCAAGAACAGCCACGGAGTTGTTGTGAAGCCACTCCTTCGTTATTTTAGCGGTGTGCTTAGGTCATTGTCTTGTTGGAAGGTAAACCTTCGGCCCAGTCTGAGGTCCAGAGCACTCTCGAAAAGGTTTTCGTCCAGGATATCTCTGTACTTGGCCGCATTCATCTTTCCCTCGATTGCAACCAGTCGTCCTGTCCCTGCAGCTGAAAAACACCCCCACAGCATGATGCTGCCACCACCATGCTTCACTGTTGAGACTGTATTGGACAGGTGATAAGCAGTGCCTGGTGTTCTCCACACATACCACTTAGAATTAAGGCCAAAAAGTTCTATCTTGGTCTCATCAGACCAGATGATCTTATTTATCACCATCTTGGAGTCCTTCAGGTGTTTTTTAGCAAACTCCATGCAGGCTTTCATGTGTCTTGCACTCAGGAGAGGCTTCCGTCGGGCCACTCTGCCATAAAGCCCCGACTGGTGGATTGCTGCAGTGATGGTTGACTTACTACAACTTTCTCCCATCTCCCGACTGAATCTCTGGAGCTCAGCCACAGTGACCTTTGGGTTCTTCTTTACCTCTCTCACCAAGGCTCTTCTCCCCCGATAGCTCAGTTTGGCCGGATGGCCAGCTCTAGGAAGGGTTCTGGTCGTCCCAAACGTCTTCCATTTGAGGATTATGGAGGCCACTGTGCTCTTAGGAACCTTAAGTGCAGCAGAAATTTTTTTGAAACCTTGGCCAGATCTGTGCCTTGCCATGATTCTGTCTCTGAGCTCTTCAGGCAGTTCCTTTGACCTCATGATTCTCATTTGCTCTGACATGCACTGTGAGCTGTAAGGTCTTATATAGACAGGTGTGTGGCTTTCCTAATCAAGTCCAATCAGTATAATCAAACACAGCTGGACTCAAATGAAGGTGTAGAACCATCTCAAGGATGATCAGAAGAAATAGACAGCACCTGAGTTAAATATGAGTGTCACGGCAAAGGGTCTGAATACTTATGACCATGTGATATTTCAGTTTTTCTTTTTTAATAAATTTGCAAAAATTTCTACATTTCTGTTTTTTTCTGTCAAGATGGGGTGCTGAGTGTACATTACTGAGAAATAAAATGAACTTTTTTGATTTTTGGAAAATGGCTGCAATGAAACAAAGAGTGAAAAATTTAAAGGGGTCTGAATACTTTCCGTACCCACTGTATATATATACACACTATTTAGGGTTTTTCGTTCTACTGCTCTCAGGAATGCACACACAATATCATTACTTTTATGGCAAATATTCAGACAATAAATGTAATTACTTTTTATGTCCCTTCAACTGACAATACAATGTGACCTTCTCTTTCCCTGTTTGCTTTGATCTTATAAAAAACTCAAGTGTTCAGGTGACCCCAGTCATGACAACTCTTTGCTAAAGCAGTGTATCAAGTCACAGCATGACATACAGTACGTAGTGTCATTAGCTGTGTATAAGAGATTAGGCAGCACACACAGCTTAGTAAGTGTTACTTGCTACTGCTCTCTGCTTCTTCGTCCTGGTGTTAGTGAACTCCTCTCTGCTGGGACAGCTTCTAATGGCTTCATGTTTGTTGACTTTGCAAATGTGACGATAACCAGTAAGACTTAGTTCCCAGATCCATCCACAATCTTTCATAGAAGCGGATTGCTTCAGAAGATGAGCACCACAAGGTTAAATCTGCTGCTACTGCTGCTGTTGTTGTCTGGGTCCTTCCAAAGAGCCCGTTCTCAGTTGCCTGAATGGATTGAAGAGGTGGAAGGTAGTGGTAAGACCTCCTGTAATCCAGTATAATGTTATTTTTCAATTATGTTCTTGTCTCATGGGACAGCACCAACTGCACTGTGGGAACAGTTCTTCTGGATCCCTACATAATAACAACACGTTTTTTAATCTTTTCCCTAAAGCCTGAAAAAATATTTCCAGTTTGAGGATTTTTATTTATGATATGGATCATTGTGATTGTATGAAAAAGCTAATAAAATGCCGGTGTACTGTAGGTGAGACAGAATGGATTCCCCAGCCAGACTTCATAGACGACATGTATTGGTCCGGGTCAGCGCCCCTTTGTTTAGGAGGCTGTAAGGCGCGGCACCAGGAGCTCAGGAGAGATCGCTGTGGAGACTCGAGCTGCTGCTGGCTCGGCTACAAGTCCCTGTGCAGAGGTAAGACTACCACAGCAATGTCTGTTTACGTAATTTAAAACTCTTTAAACACAGAAAAACGAAAGCCCCTCTGTCTGATCAACCTGTTACGGAGTTTCATGTCCAGCTTTGTCTTTGCATTACCTTTGCTTTGTGTGACAGTGAACTGTGGGAAGCCAGATGTGGACTATAATGGAGTGGTGTATGGTAACGACTGGTGGGTGGGCTCTGTGGTGAGGTACGCCTGTCGCTCTGGCTTCATGCTGGTGGGAAATCCAACCAGATCTTGCCAGCCTAATGGCCTCTGGACCCCGAAACCCACCTGCCTCCGTGAGCAAACACTGACCTCAATGACAAATATTTTATGATCCCTATTGAATCATTTAGCTCATTATTTGATTTCTCTCTACCTGTCTTTTAGGAATGTGTCCACAGGGACGCATTGAAATCAGTGAGAGGGAACTGAATGGGACATGCAACTCCACCTGCACATTTAAGTACTATTTTGGCCCACCCAAACAAGGCTGCACCCGGATAGACAACTGCAAGAAGAAGGAGACTGGCTGGAAGCGATTCTTTGCACAGTGTGTCCCTTGCATTTGTGACTGTGCTTTATCATGTGGTGAGTAACTTCCCCTCCACAATGTCAAGCATAAAGGATGGACTTGTTGAACTGATGTGAGCATGTTGCAATGGTTTCTCAGTGCAAATCCACTTGAATGTGGTCAATTATTGCTTTAAAAATGAATTGGCTGTCTTTCTTTGAGGGATTCCATGCAAAGAACGTCTTTGTCTTGTTATTTTTAGCATCTAAAGTCTAAAAGATGGAGAAAGCACGATGTTGACTTCAGATGAAGAGGAAACACAGACAGCTTGTGCACCGCAGAGCCACACACTGTTTCTGCTCCTTCATGCAATTGTGTGGACAAATCAATTGACTAAAAGCTGGATGTTTTCAGACATTAATTTATTTTCTCTGGCAGAATGAAGCCAACTGTGTGTCCTTGGTTTCTATATATAGGATTTTACATTATGACAAGAAGATATCAGTGCCTCAAATCCACTGAGGTTAAAATCAGTCTGAGTCAGTGGTGAGTTATAAGCAAAGCAGAACTGCTAAATTCGGTCAATCTAGGTGATGAAAGGTGGTGACAGTCAGAAAAGCAGAGTGAGGGGAATTTTAGTCTGTGTCAGGCTTGGGTCAAATAAAAATTGGAAAAGTTGTGAAAGAACTTACTTGGTGCAATAATTTCATGTCACAGATTCCACCTACCAGGAATATCACAGATTAGCGTCTCTGCGTTATCGCTCCTCCTCTCAGTCCATCTGTCCAGGAAGGAGATGAAACCTTAATCTCGTTACAAAGTGAGGAGCTTTGGTCAGGGAGCTCAGGGGTCCCAGTTAACACAAAGCATGTTGTAGAGCTCATAAGCAAATTGCTTAAGTAGTAGAGTGTGTATGTTTTTTTTTAAAATAATTATTTATTTGGAAAAATTGTACAAAATATGTAAAAACTTCATTTTTACACTGATGGACTTTGTAAATGTGAAATAATGTGTGGTGCATTTGAAAGGAATAAAAAGAATAAAACGCTGACCCATACACTTCATCTCCATTGCAGAGACCCTGTGAGACCTGATGCTACCTTAATGCAAATTGCTAATGTCTAACCCTAACCCTAACCATTAGGCATGCAAAGAACTGCCAAGTAGCACATCTCGATAGGTTGCATAAATCTACAGAACACCAGTTCTTTTTCTGTGCTTTCGGTCAAAGCTTATTTTTTTTTATCCATCACCTTGTGGATTAGTGGCAGCGTGAGACATCTCTGGAAGTTTTAACAGCTGAAAACAGAAATTCAAAGTCTGAATATGCAGTTTCCTTAAATAGATTTTCAGCTATCATAAGCTGAAAAATGATGCAAATCATAACAGTATGTAGCACACTTTCCAGTGTTATTCAACCTTCCTGCACTCAGTACACTTTATTTCTTCTTATGTTCTTATATTGTCTATCTTCAATTTAGGCTATTTATTGTATTAGTTCCTAATGCTCCATATATTTTTAATTATAACTAACTTGACACAAGGCTGGCCCAACATTCACACAATGTAAATAAATGTTATTTTTCATCCAGTGTCAGTATGTGATTATTTGTTTGATATTTTGATAATAAGCCAGTTAGGTAGTAGGCACATACTCACCAGCTTTGCTGTTTGGTTTTATTCTGTCACATCAGGTCTCAACATTTGGCAACACTTTACAGGAATTTGATAATCCAAAGACTAGGCAGGAGACACAAAAATGAAAAATAAAAAATGTGATTCTCTTCCACATCTGATCCTAAAGAGTTACTGCCAAAACGCTTATGCGCCTTCATCACTGTTGGGGCCAGGTGCTGAGCCTGAGGACGATATGTTCATTCACTTTAGGTCTGTAGCAGCCAATTCCTGTGAAAAGGGACATGCACCGAGTTTGGATCAGAAACTCTGACATTTTAGTTCATGAACACTGACAGATTCTGAGAGCAACACAGTGCTCAGTTGACATGGTATTCTGCAATAGCAATTAGAAAATAATGAGAAACTATTAATATGTCCTCTTTGCCCCAAAAACCAAAGAAGCAGACTCAAAATCATTCACTTTAATTGTGTATGTGGTAGCAGCACCTACTCATGTGTAGCAGTAATCACACCAAATATATAAGACAGAGCGAGTAATAGTGATGTGCGGATCGATGCAAAAGTATCGATATTTCTGATACCAACGTTTCCTGCTCTAGGATCGATACTCATATAAAAGGATCAATATCTAAACACAGTCATTTGGAGTGAGTTTGTGTTTTATCATCATAGTATCTTACTGTTACCAGGATGGTCTAATTATACTCGGTTGACAGGAACTACTTCTCCTTCTGCCTGAAGTGAGCCGCTGTGTGTGCAAAGACAGTGAAGTACTTTGGCTTCACCGCAAACTTCGCTAAACATCTGAGATTAAGTCACAATAATAAGATGATGTTATGAAGCGGCAGTTCTGAGCAGGATATTTTTATTATAATTAAAGAATATGACAGTAGTTTGATGTCTAGTTATTATACAGCTATTATTTGGAATTGGTAAGCCTACAGCCTACTCTTTATTTCCCTCATAAATACAGAAATGGGAGGGGGGAGGTCACATTAAACTAGAAATAAAATATGTAAAAAGTATCGGTATTGGTATCGGCAATACCAGCCTGGGTATTACTTTGTATTGGATCATATAGGAATTAAGTGGTATAGCACATCACTAGTGAGTGATTTGTGAGGCAATAAGTGAAAGCTAACAACTAATTCTACTGAGTCCTGCCTTATTACAGCTCATTAAGTCTTCCTCAGATAAGCTGTATTGAAACTCTGGGGAGGATACTCAACAACACCCAGCCTTCTGTACTCTCCAGGGCTTTCCGACAGGATCTCCCAGTACGTCTGCTCACGCTCATTTCCAGCTACTCCATTCACACTCTCCATCCACACGCCAAAGTCTGGGTCCTCCTTCACCGTGAACCTGGCAACACACAGAGTCAGGGCATCTTTCTGCAGGAGGTCCTTCACGAGCAGAAGTGGGTCATCATCAGCTTCAGTATGTAGGAGAAACAGCTGAGCCACCTTTGAAAACAAAGGATGATGTTAATGCTATTAAAGGGGATGCCATGCGTGGTCTTACTTTAAGTTTCCTGCAGTGTCCTCAGAGCACCCAGCAGCACACCTCCCTCCACCACAGAGCTGGAATAGGACTTAAGAGTCATGCTAGACAGGTCATTCTCCACAGACAGTCTTAAAGGAAGAGTCGCTGGACCTGCACGCATGTTGTATTCAGTTATAGTGACGCTTTGCATGATACACACACACACAAAAGTGAGTCATTTAAGGTTGTGCCTCAGCTGGAAGTAATGATGACTGTGAATTGTTTTTATCTTATTTTACCAATAAGGTGGTGTAAATCAGAGCCTCTATTACCCCCGCGGCCTCTTACTCAGAGGTTCCTCGCCAGCAACAAGAGAGTTTTCACCAGTTTTATCCCATCGACTTGTCTGAGCTTTTAAAAACAGTATCACAAATGAGAGTGTCCTCCAGCCCACTTGATGTAATACCTACAAAGTTTTTACTGAAAGTAATAGATTCTGTTGGGCCCCATTTGATCTCTGTTTTCAACAGCTCCCTATCTACTGGTTGTGTCCCTGATTATTTTAAAACGGCTTGCGTGAACCCACTTTTAAAGAAACCTGGTTTAGATCCCTCCCTCCCACATAATTTTAGACCAATTTCAAAACTGCCTTTTATTGCAAAGATTCTAGAAAGAATTGTGTCCAAACAGCTGCTCACTGTACTGGAAAATAACAAAATATTTGAAAAGTTTTAGTCTGGTTTCAGGAAGTACCACAGCACTGAGACTGCCCTGCTTAAAGTCACCAATGACCTTTTAATGTCTGCTGATGAAGGTATGTGCTCAGTCCTGGTACTCCTGAACCTTAGTGCTGCTTTTGACACCATTGATCACAACATCATGTTAGACAGACTGAGGCACTGGGTGGGGATCTCTGGTACTGCCCTAGAATGGTTTTCATCCTACCTGTCAAATAGGAAGTTTTGCGTGTCTGTAAACAACTATGTCTCCTCATTCTGTCCAGTTAAATATGGTGTGCCTCAGGGGTCGGTCTTAGGACCCATTTTGTTTTCCTTGTATCTGCTTCCCCTTGGACATATTATCCATAAACATGGCATTTCTTTTCATATTTATGCTGATGACACACAAATATACTTGCCCGTCAGATCCACAGACCCTGGAATGCTGAGTTCACTTAACAACTGCCTTTGTGAAGTTAAAAAATGGATGTCAAATAATTTCCTCCAGCTGAACTCTGACAAAACAGAAATCCTGGTCATTGGGTCCCAGCAGATGGCAAATCAAATACTGCCATCTGCTGGTTCCCTAGTAAATCACATTAATCCTGTGGCAAAGAACCTTGGTGTTTGGTTTGATAGTAATTTAAATTTCGAGCAGCACACCACAAAGCTTGTTCAATCATGTTTTTATCAACTTAGAAATATAGCAAAAATTCGTAATCTATGTTAACTTTTAAGGACACCGAGACCATTTTACACGCCTTCATCTCATCACACCTGGATTATTGCAACAGCCTTTTCAACTATTTAACCCAAAAATCTATTGATCGACTCCAGACTGTCCAGAACTCAGCTGCCAGGCTTTTAACCAGAACAAAGAAATATGACCACATTACTCCTGTTTTAACTTCATTACACTGGCTCCCAGTATGTTTTAGAATTGACTTTAAAATTCTATTTATCACTTTTAAAGCTCTTCATGGCCTCTCACCTTGTTATATTTCTGAACTTTTAGTCCCATATGCACCAGCACGTACCTTGAGATCCTCGGGCAGAGGTCTGTTGTCTGTTCCAGAGTCTCGACTGAAAACTAAAGGGGACAGAGCGTTTGCAGTCAGGGCCCCGAGGCTCTGGAACAGCCTGCCCGAGGAAATCAGGTCGGCTGAGTCAGTGAACTCTTTTAAGTCCCTTCTTAAAACATACTTTTATAGGAGAGCCTTTCACGATCTTATTTGACTTTATTTTATCCCTTTTATTTTATTCTATTTTACTAATTTTATATTTATCTTAAACGTGTATTTTAGTCTTTTTTAATGTTTTCATGCTTTTATCTTGTATTGTTTTTGTATTATTGTCTCTTGGGTATTATTGTCTTTACACTTGTTAAAGCACTTTGTAACTTGTTTTTGAAAAGTGCTCTACAAATAAAGATTATTATTATTTTTGTAGTTTTATATGTTCTTATATATTCATCCATGGATGTGAGGGTTATTCTTGTCAGATGATCTTCTCCCTCAGATGACTAATAAACAGCACAGCTCAGTACTCAATACCTTCACCTGCAGTCACCATGTAACTTTGCAAAGAGGTCTTCGTTGGGTTGAAATCACTGACTGCAACTAAACACAAAAGTCTTTGCTCTTATCTCCCATATGTGGCAGTCAGTCGCTGTTAATGGTTTATGAATAGAGAAATACTGTTATCTCTGAAGTGACTTGATCATATAGTTGATTAATGATCTGCCCTGTGGTTTCTCAAAAGGCATGACTGAGAATGGTTGTTTATTGTAGAATTATGTATGCAATCTTAAACCTTTTCTACAGAGAATAGGATGAAAGGTCATGTCTCTTTCCTCAAGGTAAATATTACATTAGGCAATCATGATCTGGCCTTTGAAGTAGACAAATAGATTGAAGTAGCACCTCACTGTTCCCATAGCAGTCTTATTTATCATGCTTAAATGTACAAAACAGGCCATGCAAAACATTTACTGGAGCCTAAAAAGAAAGCACTCATATTTGTTTTGTAACTCCTTCAGACAAATGCTAAAGTTATACCAAGGAAAAAGAAAAATCTGGCTGTAACACAGTGCAAGCCTGTGGTGATTTACATATTCATATAATCTCTAAGACTTGCAATCAGTTTAATGGATTAAGGTTTGTAACAGTGGCTGTGTCTAAGAATATGGCTCTTGTTGATAGTAGGCTAATATTAGCATCTATAAGGATGCAAATCACACAGAAAGAGAGAAAGGTTGCTGTGTTGAAACTACTCGTGTAGCGAAGCGAGAGCTCGTTTTAAATTGGTCTGATTAGGCAGGTGCGATTGGCTAAAAATGCTTTTGATTTCCTCTCAGGGGTGATGTAAGGCATGTAGGGCCCGCTTGAACGCGAGTAACCCCGGCTGTTTTACCGAAAATAACCCGGGCACTGCAGCATCAGCACCAGGCAGCTGCGCAGGTGCGGCCGTTAAAGAGACAGCGGGCCTAAAATCTCACTGAAACCTGCCACATGTTTACACAGACTGTCGACAGCAGTGCACTGACAGTGATGGAGCCCAAAATCAATATCTGCATCAGTGTTATGTGGCAAGACTTGAAATTTAAAAAGCTCGTATTCACAGTGGCGTTTTAGCCTAATTTCATTGTGTTATTCCCATTTCTGTCATTTCCCCAGAGACAACAGCCCAAAGTCGCCTCAGAATAGAAAATTAAATACTTAAAAGGTTTAAATTGGCACATGGGAGACTAATTTAATGAAAAGGGCTGTGGCAGTCAATCTGATCTGAATAAATGTAATTAACTGTGAAGTAATTCCAACTTTTAGGTCAGAGCTCCAGCCTTAAGTCACAACAATATCCTTAAAATGCCTTTACATAAATTTTAAATGTATCTATTATTTACTATTATACTGTGCACATAGTGTCTTTACAAAACATTCTATGTTTAGGCTACTTTTTTTCTGTGAGACTTTATTTATTTTAAAGCCTGAGGCCAGAATGAGGATTAAGAGGAAACAATTAAAACCAAAGGAGTATTTTTTGTTTCTCCAGTAGCATCCTGCCAGCAACGCCCTGTATCCCAGACCGGCGTGCGTAGCCTACCACACAGACGCACTAACCGGTGAGAGGATAACGGCGGCTGCCATATCGAGCTGCTGCTGCTGATACTGCTGCTGATACTGCTGCTGTTGCTGCAGAAGCATCTGCAGCACGGTTCTGGCTGTTTTTTATTCATTCCAGATGTCGGGGACCGAAGATTGTCATCAATACCACTGCTGAGGATGTGTGTGAGCATTTCGATATGAGTTCCGGGCGGATGGATTCGATCAAAGGAATAATCCTAAGGCATCCTAAAGCATGACAGGCATCTTGTTCCCCTGACGATTCTCTGGGATGCAGTCATAGTTTGAGGCCGGGCATGATTTTAATCTTAGGAGTTGCTGTAGTGGATGCGGGACGATGTGCGCCGCACCCCGAGAGCTATTGATAAGGAGAACACAGCTCCGTCAATCAGTGACCCTCAAACGATCCGGATTTTTCCTGGACTGTGGCGCACAGTGAGCATCTTGTTTTGTTTGGTGTGTGTGTTTTTGTTTTTTGTTTTTTATAGCTGGGACTGTTTGGCGGACCTTCTCATGAGGAATTGTGCTGCTTTGTCTGAAAGGATCAACTGAGCACTGTTGCTCTCATCCAGAGAGAAGAACCAGGGCTGAGCTGCTCACCTGGTCATTTCAACATACAATAATAAGTATGTGCAATGCATGCGTGGATATGTGCGTGTTTGAGTGTGCTTGTGCAATGCAACACGAGGTAGGAGGGACTGGTAAAGCCACAGTTACTGTAGGCTATGTCCTCAGAACAGGCTCATTTATGACTATTAAATCACTTCCCCCCACTGCTCTGTCGTTTCCCAGCCTGAATAGTGTCTGGTGTTTTTATCATTTTGTTGTTAACAGGTGCTTTTTGAAGAACTGGGAGCATCCCTCATCACTGACAGGTCATTGCAGAGCACAGAATCACCACAACACTCCAAGGATGTATAGATGCATTAAATAACCATATTTCATCCCTTCAGGAGACTTTTACTAAGGCTGTGTGAGCTCACGTGTCCTGGGTTTGGATCTGCACATGACATGGAGGCCTTCAGTATCTGACTGAGAGGCCATTAAAGCATGTCAGCATTTTACAGAGCTTATATGCAGTCTGGTAATGGGAATTCACTAATGACAGGGTGGTCAATAGAAGTCATGGTCAATTTTCTTCACTGTTCTTTTCTTCACCTCTTCACATGAGGATATTTTATACATACAGCAGGTCATGGATAGTAGTGGATGTTTGTATACCGTGTTTTTATGTCAGTTACTGGTTTTCATTCATAAAATTGGCCTTTTTCAGCTGTTTCCTAACTATTTGTGTAGAATATGGCTATTTTGTATGTTAGCTGTGTTCTTTTAATAATCCCTAAACTGCTTCAAGCAACTATTTACAATGAAAGACATATCTCATTAGTTTCAACATGACCATCCATAAACTTTAAACTGATCATTACATGGCTCTTTAGTTACCACTAGACTGCTAATCTAAAGGAGACCACTTGATTAACTTTTGAAAACTTGAATCATGCACACAATTTGTTTAGTGTAGGGCTTGTTATATAACTATTGACTAGTAACCTGATTAATGAAATAGTAACACGATCTTAAGTGTATTAGAGAAACAATATGTTGTTGTTTCAGTTTCAGATTATTGGAAAGCCAATGGATCAGCAGCCACTACATGTTTAGACACTCCAGTGTAGGAGGAAATGTGTGTGAATCAGCAGTATAAGTGTGCCTGCTGCAGGGCTGAAACCAGATCCCGACTCCTCACACTCAGGATCTCATTCCCCCCAACTAGCCCACAGAATGAAGTGTAATTAGATCATGTCCAGCACCTAGTTTTAAGATGATGTCTGCAGTCATCCTAAAAGCACTGCTACAACACAGTTTTGTATTCACACAGCTGCTGAGGCAACAGATTTTTGTATGGAGGCTTATCAGTCCATGAAATTTTTTTATGTTTCTTGCACAATGGCTTACATGCCTATCCTCCTTTGCAACCCTTTTAGCATGGCGGAGAGGACACTGGAGCAGGGTTCGGTCAGCATCCCCATGGAGGAGACCAAACTACCCGGCGGAGCGCCTCAGGAGGCAGCACTGCTCACCCACTTAAAGAAAGTGGAGAACCACATCACTGACGCTCAGCGCTTCTCCCACCTCCCACGCCGCTCTGCTGTGGACCTGGAGTTCAATGAGCTGTCGCACACCATCCGGGAGGGTCCCTGGTGGAGGAGGAGAGGTACTGCAAGCCTAGTTCACATAGTAACCATGACGGATGAGCAAGCGAGCACCACCCATGATGATCAATATCTGGAGGGCAGAAATTTCAAGGGAGGCATTTAAAAGCTTTTGTGACATTTAGGGAAAAATTTTTCTCAGTGTTAGTCTGTCTCTCATGGCTTGCTCTATTGTTCTGAGAGGTGTAGCCCAGCCCTGTCCTCACACACACACACACACTTGCGGACTTCTACCATGTTGTAGCAGGCAGTGTGCCTGTTAGCTTTGCTGCGCTCAGCAGAGTTTAGACATAGTAAATAATTTACACTTGCAGGTCGGCACTGCTTTCTTCTGTTTTCCCTGTGTTGTCTGCCGATAGGTGATGGCAGTGAGTGAGGCCCACAATTGATTTGCTCATTAAATATAATATAACAGCATTTAAACTCCCTTATTAATGGTGAGCCTCCAGCCTTTGGTCATTTCTGCTTGTCAACTAAAACCACCCGTTGCAAACTGTTGTGTGTAGCGGCTCTTGTTATGTTCAGTAAATTTAGCAGGGTGGGGATGGGGGACTTCAGAGGAATCCTTTATTTACATTCTCCACATCCTTAGGAGTGGCCCTACATGATGCATTGCAGGTAGCCTTGTGTTATTTTAAGTCTTGTTTAATATTGATGTGCATTACAAAAGCCTTGCAGAGGAATGTTTGCTGTTCCGTTGTGAAACCTCAATGTATGGAGAGTATTCACGAGGAGGATCATGGCAGGGTGAGGAACAGCGAGGGACTCCTGAGCAGTGGCCAACAAATAAGCTTTTGTTTGTGCGCTGATGGACATGTTTTCCTTTGGTAGTCTAATCAGAATCAACCTGTGGTTTCTGCTTTTGTTTGTGCTGTCTCTTCAGGGTGCCTGCCTTGGCTCATCAGGCTGAGGATGTGTGAACAGGAAGTGTCTCAGCTTTTACTAATTAAGCGGTGCCTTTCATAAAGAGGCTAGTCTGCCATTTTACTCTCCTTCCCATCTCACTGAACCTCCCATCATATTCGTCCTGCTCTTCATGACCCCCTTCTGCCTCTCCAATTACCCCTGCCACTCACATAAAATAACAAGTCACATTTAACCAGTGTGTTACTTACATTTGACATGTGCTGTAGTTCATTCTGAGGGGCTTGTCGGTGTTTGTGTCTCATTTAACAAGCTAAGCTCAGAGCTGATTCTCTGCAGTCTGCCTGATCAAAGCTGTAAAACAGGTGTAATCACACGGAGCTTAAGGCTGTTGTTCTGCTGTGTGCCTTTGTAGTGATTATTTCTCTGTGTAAAAAAAACCCATCATTATAAACACATTATTTTATGTCGTTTCTGCTGAATTATATACATTTATAAAGCGGGTAAACAGTAAAGACGGGAAAAAGCATGAACACCTTGATGTCATTTGTAATTTAATGTGTTTTAGCTTTGAGTCACTGTCATACTATGAGTCATTCCTTAAAATGACGAACAGGAAGAGAATCACCAGAGGAAGATACTACAGTAAATTTAGAGTTTATTTTTATTGTAAAAGGGTTCAGAAAGGTTAGGTGATGTATGAACTGCACCACGTCTGCATTTCTTATCGTAGGCTCTTCTTGGCCATTTATCCCTGATACGATGAGAGTGCTGTGACCTGCTTTCATGTTGAGGGTGTTCTCCTCCTATAGAGGTATTCTCCTAACTGGTGAAAACACTATCCCAGCTCTGAAAGTGGAAGGACAGGAAGAGGGAGGGAGAGCAGGAAAATGTTTACCTGCCTCTAGATGATTTCAGCTCTGCATTTTGTTATTTACTGCAACTGCAACTCTGCACCTGCAAAAATGCTCGGAGTTTCTTAGGGGGAAGAGGAGTGTGGTCACCTTACAGATAGAATCCCATCTTTTATCTAACGTGCAGTGTGCTGCTGAGGCTGTGCTCCTTTTAAAATGCATCACCATGCACATCTTAACTCAAATGTATGACTGTGATGTCATTCTCTTGCTGAACAGTTGTGAAATTATATGATTAGGTTTAATTTGATTTCAAAAGATATTCAATGTGTAGCACTCTTGTATTTGCTTATTTATCCTGTTTTATTGTAGACTATATGGTCTAGGACAAGGGTAAAACTGAAGTCAAAGCGATGCATAATGTATTTGTCATATGTGAATCATGGTGGCAGTTTATGCAGTCTGAATATGTTATCTACTAAATGTCCTGATGTGACGGGGTAGACCATTAGGAAATGATCAAAGGGAGCTGCCTGAAGCCTGATACATTGCCTCAAGTGACGTCATTAGAGTCAGCATGAGTTGAGGCTGAAGACCACAATTTTGAAAATGAAACATATCTGGGGGTGTGGAGTTAGAAGGAAGTGCACTTATCAAACCTCTCAAGCCCACTCCTCATCTCTGCTTGAAGCTTGGCCACTACTCGCATCTACACACCTGAATATCTGAAAGTGATGGCATCCGAGTTGTATTCTGGGTAATGTAGGCAGCAGTTTTGACAAGCAAGAAAAATGTGTGGAATAAAAAAAGAGTATATCTCATTGCACTTCAGTAACATCCGTCAGTAAAATTCTAACGTGGTGGAGTGCTGTAAAGTGGTGGAGTTGTATAAATATAATATAATAAATGTTTTATCCAACAGAGTGACCACTGCCTGTCTGTATATATTAGCACATAGTTAATCACACAAGATAAACACAGAATATCCAAATGTGGAACAGGCATTCATGCTGTTCATGCTCATTGCTCAACACAACTCCTTTAAGAATTTAGATGACATTGTAGTAAAGGTTTATGGAAAGACTATTTTCCTGGTGTGAGAATTTTGTTGTCATTTGTGTCATGGGCTCCAATTTGAGGCATGTGATGACCCCAATCTCTATGACTCATAATAATTTCTCTAACAATTACTGCAAAATTACCTATGAGAGCAGACTGGAATCTCTGAGTCAGTACTGTCACAGGCTGTTAAGTCTGTGTGTCTTTGTGGTGTCAGGAGTGGATGATGAGGCGATCTACGTCCTCTGTGGCTCTCATGAGACTGGGTGATCAGGATGCGCCTGCAGCCTCGCACAGATAAGGCCATTATTATGTGCGACCTACAGCACTGGGTTAGATCATCAGTATGCACCACATGCCAGAGAAAGGCCGCTTCACTGACAGCAGGCTGCTTTGCTGTCTGAGTGGAGGCTGTCTGATGTAATAACACTGTGAGGGAGGAGGGGGTGCTACCATTAGGCTACTTTACTCATGTGAGGGTTTAAGGGGGCTGGTAGATCTGCTGAGACCATAATTACACAGCTTGAGACAGGAAGAAGCATCCCTACAGACAGCGGGAAAATGGGTGAGGTGAGGGAGACAGGGATGACAAAAACGGCGGGATACTTAACTTTCCATATCTGGAAGATTTCAGAATATATGTCAGTTCTGAAATGTATTGTTTTACTGTTTCCACTGTGTGTCAAGCACCACAAAGATTAGAAAATGCGTCATGAAGAAACTTGAGCCATCTTCATTTGCCCATGCAGGGAAGTAATGCCTGTGGTTTTTCTGTTGGCGCTACTGAGAGCGTCATGATCCCAAATCTGTCTGTAATCTTGATTTTTTTGTCTTTTGTGATTTTTTTCACAGTACTCTTTTGCTGCTCACCTGATGCCCAGCTCTCCTAAAATGCTGTGAAACCTTCTGGTTTTTACTTTTTTGTTCTTCACAGCCAACTTCACCAACTTAAATTCTTTCTTTTCCCCAGACACTGATAACAGCTTACACACTTCCCATTTCCAGCATTTCCAGTATGTTTTTTTATTAGCTTGCTAGAACTGCTGTTCTACCTGGTTCACTTTCTCACTGTCAGGAGTTTATAAAGTTATAAGTTTAAGTAAAGTTATAAAGTGTTATTAAGATGAGCAGGCTTACATATGACCAAGCAGATGGAACATGATTAAATGACCACAGGGTTAAGGCAAACGGAAATACAGAATGTAAACTTATTTTGTCAAATGTTTACTTTTTGTCAGCAGAAATGTTCCGTTGTTATTCAAGTTAAGAGCACACATCAGTCCCTATCACTTTTTTTCTACAATTCATTTTCCAGATGAGCACACTGTGGAAATACACAGTGTATAAATAAGCTAAAAATATAATTTAATCACTCAATTGACCTGTTCTCCCTTGTATTGTGTGAGGGTGTTACAACATACACTCAGGAACAGCTTTTAAGCTTACATTTAACCATCTTTTGTCAGACAAGCATCAGTCAAATTAACTTCGAAATTTTCCATGGCTCTTGTGCTGAATCTTGCAAATTTCTCTTAAAACCACACTTTTACACTGTTCCTATTTTATATTTGTTCCTCTTTACCCGCTTGCTTATTACAGTTTTTTTTTTTGCTTGGTGCCATGAAAATGAAAGATTACTGTAACTGAATGTACTAATACTGTAGTACTGAATGTACCAGTAATGTACTAATGGTGAATATTCAAAATACCCTTTAGAAATATAGTAATGTAACCTAAATGTGAGTCGTGTAAATGGGCTGTAATAATAAATATAGTGAATTAATTGAAAGCTCGTTGTTTTAGATCTTCTGATATGTAGCATAAAAAGTACATATGTATCTTTGCAGTAAAATGTCTGAGAATGATTAATGAAAACAATTTTAGAGTCAGACCAGTTACAACAATACACAATACAGCTTTTCCCCCTCTTCGTCAGGTTACAAAGCTCTCCTCAAGTGTCTGTCTGGAAGATTCAACAGCAAAGAGCTGATTGGCATCATGGGGCCCTCTGGAGCCGGGAAATCCACTCTGATGAATATTCTGGCGGGTTACAGGTGAGTGTGGAATTGTAGTGGATTTGTGTAGATTTCAAACAGCTTATGTTCTCTTACGTAGGCTATCTGTCAGATAATACTTTTGTTATCATTTAGTCCTTAGAAAATGGCAGAAATAATATTTTGTTTTCTGCTGGGAAACAGGGAGACGGGCATGAAGGGCCAGATCCTGGTTAATGGTCGACCGAGGGACCTGAGGTCCTTCCGGAAGATGTCCTGCTACATCATGCAGGATGACATGCTGCTGCCACACCTCACTGTGAGGGAGGCCATGATGGTGAGGTCATCTAAAGCAAAAGGAAAACTCAACAACTCATTAAATAGTAATGTTGGATAATAATGTGCTGACTTCTGTTTGTCTTTCAGGTTTCTGCCAATCTGAAACTGAATGAGAGCACGCAGATCAAAAAAGAACTTGTAAGTCTTAATGTGTTGATTATAATTTCATGTACATAATTATTTCTCAGCTAGGGATAGGCAAGACAATAGAAATGTGTATTACCTCAAAGATTTCAATGCTATTTATACCAAAGTAGTTATCCTTTGATTGTATTAATTGTGTGCTTTTTCACTCAATTTGCTGGATTCCATCTGGTTATTTTTTTGTAGATAAAATTTTATAGATTAAATAAAATTACCTCCTACTTTCTTCAAGAGAAGCTGGCTACAGATAAGATGGCAGACAACCACAAAAGTCATCCGTATACAAGAAGTCATGTGACATCATGACCAAGAGTTTTCCAAATAATTTACGCTACATTTTCACACAGGAGCCTTTTTCAGTTTGAGCTACAGAAATTAACAAAATGAAAGTTTTAAAACATAGTTTCATCTAATACGTTTCAAATGTAGCCTCCATCACTCCACTTACAGTCATGAAGAAAACAGACAAAAGGGAAAAACAGACACCTGCTGATGTCATGTGACTTCCTGTATATGGATCACAATTGTGGTTGATGTCCACCATCTTGTCTGCACCAGGGCCAAAGTGTTCTGCATCACAAAATATGCAGATAGGTCACATATACTTCTGATATTGCCTTCTTGTGCGTCTTCATGTACCCACATTTGTCTCTGTTTGTGTCTAAGGTGCATGAGATCCTTACTGCTCTCGGTCTTCTGGACTGTGCTCAGACACGTACCAATTCCCTCTCTGGGGGCCAGCGTAAAAGACTGGCTATTGCACTCGAGCTGGTCAACAATCCTCCTGTCATGTTCTTTGATGAGCCCACCAGGTTGGATATTACCGATCTAGTTTCACTCTGTATAATCCAGATTAAACAGTGCATCTGTCTCACTGGTTTTCTGTCTTGTGTCCCATCCCAGTGGTCTGGACAGCGCATCCTGCTTTCAGGTAGTTTCCCTCATGAAGTCTCTGGCTCAGGGAGGACGGACAATTATCTGCACCATTCATCAGCCCAGTGCCAAGCTCTTTGAGATGTTTGATAAGGTAACTTGAGTGCTGCTTGTATTGCTGGACACGTCTAACCTTCCATTAGCTGCTGCTCAGGCCAGGGTACTATGGGTTAGCATGATTCATTTTATGCCGCTGCAGTCGATACCCAGGCCTGTTGTTTTGTCAGTTCATATATTATTCAGAGAGTGAGTGTGTTGGAAAGTATGTTGATTACTCTGTACATGTGTTCCTCCACCAGCTGTACATCCTCAGTCAGGGTCAGTGCATATACAAGGGCACAGTCCCCTACCTCATCCCATATCTGAAGAACCTGGGTCTCCACTGCCCAACGTATCACAATCCTGCTGATTTCAGTAAGTCAAGTAACTCATTTGGTACAAGTGAATGTATATGTTTGTCAGTGTTTTTGTTCTTACTAGCTTGTCCTCTCTGTCCACAGTCATTGAGGTGGCGTCAGGGGAGTATGGGGATCTGAATCCAGTGCTGTTTGAAGCTGTCCAAGGTGGACTGTGCTCCGAGGAGGGCAAGAAGAACTCCAGAGACAAAAGTGACTCTTCTTGTCCCTCTCAATGTCACAGTGTGAGTGATACCAGCCCCCTCACCCAGCACCACTGTCTATATGTCTCATATTTACAGACGTCATAAAGCCTCATACAATAATGAAAAAGCTCTACATTCACAGAACATGTCTGCGTCAGATTTCCTCCATTTCCTTCAGTGGTTTCTGATGGATTAAGTTTACAGTTACATTATTGTCTCCCATAGGAGACAATTGTCTTGGACTCAGGGGATTTGCTGTATCAAAACCAAACATCACAATAAAAGCACAATAAATACAAACACATATGCATATAGATAAAACAGCCAATCAAATTAGTCACAAGCCATTCACTCTGTTAGAAGTGTAAAAAGCGATCTACTCACATTAAAAACAAGGCTCATATATTTCAAATCTACAAAGCCACAGTGTGATAGCAATAATAAATGTTCTCCTTATTAAACAAATTATAATAAAGTATAAATGTTGGTTGTGTCATTTTTCAAAAGTACTCTAATAACTTCATTTTTGAGATTCAAATAAGTAAAGCCAATAAAAGAACCCCAAATTGTAACACCCAGTGAATTGTTATACGTTGATAAATTCCGTGTTACCCTTCCATGTACACATTATTTCTTATTTTCCTCCAAACTTTTCCTCTTCTCCACTCCATCAATCTGTCTACTCAGACTCTCTCAGCTTCCTCTCACTGTTTCTTTCTCAGCCTCATAAGTCGCTTCTGATAAGAGCATCAGCTAAATGCTGAAACTGTAAATGAAAACCACCCAGAGCTCTTTGTTATGCCATTACTCCTACATTGTGCAGTTTTGCCCTTCTACTCCTTTAAACATTTTATCGGTTTATTGATTTTCTCTGTTGCCATTTATTTTTCTGTGTAGGCATCAGCCAGTAATCTTTACCAGAGATTGTGAAGTTTTCTATTCTTATGTCCATATCTTCATTTTTCAGCTATTGCCTCTTAACTTTCCTCTTATTTGATTTCATGATTTAAGATATTATTATGTGACCTTCCACTTCCATACAAAATATCTGCCAACATTTATCACCTAGCAGACACAGTGTGCATTTGTTTGGAGGTTTTAATTCATTGAGGCACAAAATGTTTAAACTGAAATTATACCATTGTTAGGAGAATCACCATCAGTCAGAGACAATTTGAATGATAAGGCATATTTCTTACTATATTAAATAAATTCACAAGTTTGATTACCTTCTAATCAAACAAACAGGCCCATTAAAGATTTATTTGCAATATGACATACTGTAGGTATGGTATCTCCTTGTTCTTAATGGTTGTCTTGTATTACATAACTAACTCCTTGTTCTCATTGTCTTTTCTCCACAGGACACAGGAACTCTTGAGAAACATAGCTTTGCCACCAGTTCATTCACACAGTTCTGCATCCTCTTCAAAAGAACCTTTATTACAATATGCAGGGACACGGTAAAATAATTGTTCTCTTGTTGAACTATTCCTGCTCAAACTCAGACTTTATAACTAACCAGATTCTATTGTGTGAAACAGCTTTACTTTGATTATTGGTGTTAATTATGGGCATTTGAGTTGTGTTGATGTTTGTGGCTTTAAAGGTGCTGACCCACCTCAGAGTGATGTCCCATCTGTGTATTGGAGTGCTGATTGGCCTGCTTTATCTCAAAATTGGAAATGATGCCAGCAAGGTCTTCAACAACACTGGCTTCCTCTTTTTCTCCATGTTATTCCTCATGTTTGCTGCCCTGATGCCCACCGTCCTAACCTGTAAGATGCTAAGTCTAGCAAGAGATTGGAATCACTGATTTGCCATGTGGTTTTTCAGTCTTTTAACCCTGCTATTGTCCCACAGTTCCTCTGGAGATGGCTGTGTTTATACGGGAATATCTCAACTACTGGTACAGCCTGAAAGCCTATTACTTAGCCAAAACTATGGCTGATGTACCATTCCAGGTAATGTTCAAATTATTGAACAGACAATGGTTTAGATATGCATTTAGTTTATTTCAAATTAGCAACACTAAAATTTCTTTTACAGGTGCTTTGTCCAATCTTGTACTGTAGTATAGTGTACTGGATGACTGAACAGCCTCCAGAAGCGACTCGCTACCTGCTCTTTATGGCCTTGTCCACATCCACAGCACTGGTGGCCCAATCCCTGGGTCTGCTTATAGGGGCTGCATCCACATCTCTGCAGGTAGGAAAACCTGCATACCTTAAAGTCCCCCTCCTCTAAAAAAATTTGTTTTTCTTTTTGTTAGTTCGCTTGGATGTTTGAACTTCATTGTGCAGAATGATCTATGTGCAGAGTTTGACACAAATTATTATTCAAAGCAGAGTATTTCCACATGGCTTAAAACATGTCTGGAGGGGATCTTTAAAGGGGAACTGCACTGAAGTCTGTTTACAGGTATTGGGGAGTACTACTGCGTATGTGAACATTTTTATAAACTGTTTTGTGTCTCTATAGCAAGCTTGAAGTTTAAAAATTAAAAACATCTGGGGATGTGGTGCAGTGTTGGGCATTAACGCATTACTTAACGAGGGATTACAATTTGAAATTCAGTAATTACATTACAGATACTACTACTGCTCCCAGTAATGCTCTGTTACTTTGCCACTTGAGGTCAGCTCGTTAGCTTTCTGGATTGGATGGAGGGTTGATATCAATTGTGTTTCTTTGTGTGGTTAGAGGACAGACTGGTCTGGAACATGCTAGCTTGGCACAGCTTGAGGTGGAAGAGGCAGTTAGCCTCTACCAAAAGAGGAGAAGGAGTAATGTAACACATTACTATTGCTCCTGACTAATTAGTAAAATAATGTAGTTATTTCTTCAATAAGTAATGTGTAATGATTAATTGATTACAGTTTTCAAGTAACTTGCCCAACACTGGTGTGGAATTAGAAGAAGTGAGGTTACCAGACCTCTGGAGCTTGCTCTTCATTTCCGCTTGAGGCTCAAGGGTACATTAACAGCTTCTAGCACCCTAATCTCTGGCTGGACTGTCAGTAGTCGAGTTGCGCTGTGACTAATTAAGCACCATGAAGAAGAATGCATGAAATAAAAATGACGATATCTTGAGCTCTACTGCATCGATTTTGCCCCTTTTTCTTAAACTGCTTGTCAACAATGTTAAAAAAGTGCAATGCTAAATTGGATGCAGTACTCTTTTTAGTATCTGCTTACAAGATATTTCACTGAGCCAGTTTTTTAAAATTAAATACTATTCATTTGTTCCACAGGTGGCTACTTTTGTGGGTCCAGTCACAGCCATACCTGTGCTTCTCTTCTCTGGCTTCTTTGTCAATTTTGACACCATTCCCAAATACCTACAGTGGAGCTCTTATGTTTCCTATGTCAGGTACTGTCAGCTACTTTATGCAGCTCACATTTCTAGTTCAACCACTACCTTTAGACTTCTGATAAATGTGTTTTGGCCATCAGTCAGGCTTCCTCTTATCTGAAATGATTCCCATTAAATCAAAATTAAAAAAGCCTGGGTTTATGAGGTTTTGTCAAAAATGTCTGCTTTCAGGTATGGCTTTGAGGGAGTGATACTCTCTATCTATGGGATGAACCGGTCGGAGCTGGAGTGTCCAGGTCTGGTGTGTAAGTTCCAGAAGCCAGAGGAGGTCCTGCAGCTGCTGGATGTGGAGGATGCGAAGCTCTACGTGGACTTCATGGTGTTGGGGATTTTCTTTCTGGTCCTCAGATTGGCTACTTACCTGGTTCTGCGTTACAAAGTCAAGTCAGAGCGTTAGGACGTCTAGGGGCAACTACAGATATGTGAGATAGTAAGAAAACTTAATAGTCTCTGTTTCTCTGTCTCTACTTCACATACATGTACAAAGACATACACAAGTCCAGCACATAAAATCATCAAAAAGTTGTGCTGCACACAGTACAGTATAATAGTATCTTTAAACTATTTGTTATTCAGTAAAAGGGAAAGTGCTGTGGAATGTTGTCCTAACCCCTGTCCATTATTAGTTGTCCTCCAGTATTTTTCAGATCACCATTACTTTCTGGAAATACTGTGTACCTACACCTTACATAAACAGAATACCCAACAAAGTAACAGAAAGCATGTTTCTTTAGACTGAGAAATTTGGATTCATACATGAGCTAAAGCCTCCAGGTTTATGGGGAGATATAGTACCCACCTTGATGGAGGACTGTCCAATAACGTGTAGCTTCTGATTCCAATGCCTAAAAATGTAATATAATGTCCACTTCAGAATCATGTAAACTGATACTTAATGGGACAACGCCCATCAAGCTCCTCGTGGAACAAGATTTCAAGATGGATTCCCTTGTTTTGCCATCAAGAAAGTGGAAACTTTCAGTGCCAGAGAACCTTTGTGCGACTTCTTGCTCATCTGTAGGATCATCTCATCCTTACAAAGACACTGAACACGATGGATTTTCTTCATGGAATAAGACCTTAACAAACCGACTGCCAGTGGGTGACTTTCCTTGCTTTCCATCGCCAGTGTGGATCATTTTCATTCTGCCCTACCTTTAATGGTGGCAGAACGTTCAAGCGTGGATCAAATGTTTGTAAAAATGCCAGACTTATATAAACACTGATATGGATTCACAGTGCGATCTGGCCAATGATTCCTTACTTGCTCCTTATTATACACGTTTGTTTCTGCCATAACCTGAGGAAGCATTCTATGAACTGGGAGCAAAATGTGAAAGCAAGCATGACTGCTGTTTCCAGCCTGATTCGGAGGGCTGTCTTAATCATATTGGTTGAAATGAGAGAATGGTGTTTGAGGTGAAGTGCAATAGCCTATTCTGTGATTTAAAAAAAGTGATGTTTGTCTAATCGGTGACGCTCTTTTGACACAAACCTTCGAACTGCTTGTTTCCACTCACTGTATGACTCTTTAGCTGCCTCCTCCCTGAGCTAAATATCCGTTTTTCTCTCCTTCTCTTTATCTCTGCTTTGCTGATGTCTGACAGATGTGTGTTGTCCAAAACAATGCTAGATACTTGAAATGCAAGCTGGGCAGTTTTTGTGCCTCTTAACCAGAATGATATAAGTTTCTTCCGCTTTATTGTTTGCACATACACCTTATGTCAACGTACATGCTGGTTCTCACACGCACACATACACAGGAACATATGCTCACACACACACACACACACACACACACACACACACACGCAAATATTTTCCAATAAACTTGCTATGAAATATTTCTTACTCAAACTATGCTACTTAGTAATTATTATTATAATGCATAAAATAATGTGAGTATATAATCAATGATTGTACAGTGAATATGTCATGCTGTAAACAAATGTACATTTGCACTTCTCAATGTATGTTTATTCTTTTTTATTTATTCGTATTTATTTTTATTTTTATATATATCTATGTGATGAGTGCTGCTTGAAAGTATAATGGGAAAACAGCAACTGAATGTTGCATGTTGACTTTAGGAATTACATTAATGAAGTATTAAATTTCAGAGTATAGCATAACGATTTTATTTCCTCATCCAAATGTATGTAAGCTGCCATGTTTGAGGAATTGCAAATCCTCTGCTTTCTGCTGAACATTTTTAGAATATCTCTAACTGAGTGCATCCCTGGTGCAGATTAAAAAAAAGAAGGAATCAGGAGTAAGAAGGTAACAAGAGTGTGAAATGTGCTGGGTTGAAGAAGGTTAAGGTAACCAAACAGGCAACCAAAAGTATCATTATGTAGCTAATGAGATTGGCAATCTCTTTAGGAACAAACTGGATCAGAGAATGGATCAGTAATCACTGATGGAGGTTTGGATTCTATCATTAATAGCAATAGTCAACATCGTGATGTTTAATTGTTATACCTCGCACTGCTGTGGCATCAGTCAGTTTATATGTTAAGAACTTGATTTGAGTCATTTTGCTCCTACCAGTTGTGCTACATGCAATAAGCATCCAAAGGTTTTTTAACTCTATGACACCAATTTCACGAATGGAAAATGTAACCCTGCAATCTGTCTTTTTCATTTTAGTTGTGTTGTTGTTGCTTCTGTTCAGTTACAACTTGGTGGATGTGTTTAGCGGCGGACCCTCTTAAGGATTCAATTAGATGGACAAGAATGGAAGATGGAAAAGAATAATAATAGTAAAATGTACTGTAGATGAGTGCTGGACAAACTAAAGCCACTTGCCATTTAATGTTAGAATCTATCAGGATAATTGGTTCTTAGAGTACAAAAATGTGCATGGGAAAAATAATAATATTGCATAAAACCAGTTTTACAGCAGATATGTGTTTGGTAGCCGACCTGCAGGTATGACTAACAATTCCTAACCTACAAAAAGCCTAACTGCAGATAAGAAACAGCTCAAAGCAGGGATAATTAGCAGTGTTGAAGTCATTAATCAGCCAAAGTCTCACCCTGACGTCTAAATGCCTGTGGTTCTAAAGAAGAAAACAAATTATCCTTTCTCTGCTGTGAAAAAGTAAAATTCAGTGGGTGCATTTCTCAGTGAGATTATGTTGTCAAATGTCAAAACAATGTCAAAAGATGACCAAAGCAAGAGCTCTGAAAGGACATAATGTTTGTAATAATTCAAATCCCACTGGTTGTTCCCAATTTTTGGATTTTTCAATCCATGACAAAATGGTCAGGTTTCTAAAGATCTGTGTTACAGTGTCCCTTCCAGGTCAGAAAAGTGATCATTACAGACAGATATGTTTTGGCTCCACTGGAGATCCTAAATAATGGAATCTTAATCAGATGTAATCATATGTAAGCTGTATTCTGGGAGTGATGGTGTGGGATACATCTGATGTGCATACTATGTTAAAATCAGTTTTCAAGGTAATCAAGTTTTTTTTCACTCTCTTTGACACTTTCATTTATCATGTTGCTATTGTTTGTCATAATACACCACCTGACTTTAGTGCACCTTATCATGCACGGTAAGTAATAAAATGCAGGTTATCCCTACAGAAAGGTATAATTGTCTGATTGAAAATTAATAATGGATTGGACGGCTGTTTAACAAAGATTGCTCTTTGTAATTGTTATTGTTGTCTGGTATAATTTGTTTATCATTTACAGTTAACTTTATGGTTTCTCAACTAAAAAAATGCAAGTTCTGTACACTGAACACTGTTCCAAGGATAATAATAAAGATCATTTATAACCTTTGCCCTCGCTCAGTGAGATGATTTGCTCAAACACTAACTGTAGTTAGTTCACATTTACCTATAAGGCTTTAGCCACAGATATCCATTGAAGTTAAGTTAATTATTATCTATATGGATATTTGTTGTTTTCCAATGTTGTTGTCCATGACAGTTTTCCATACTTTCCACACTGTAAATCATTATAGCCCCATTAAGTTATGTTTACTTATTTCTTCTTAACAAAGAGGTCTGACAAGTTATGGATTTTGAACTCAACTGTTTGAGATTTTGAAAGTTGAACTTGCATTAATTCATTGTGTTGACTATTTGAGACTTTTTGTGAGATATGTATGTGCTGACTTGGGTAAGTTATCAGTTGAAAAAAAAGGCGGGTGTGCTAGGATGGGAGCAAGAGAGAAAAATTTTGTTGCATCCTTTGAGTTTGAGAGAAACTGTTTTCTTTAAACCATTGCAAAGTTGAAGCATGGAAATAATCAACTAATTATACACTGCAGATAAGTCATGTATTCAAATTCTAACTAAAATACAGAGTGCCATTGGTGGAGGGGGTACATGAAAATGGCCTTGTACATGTAAATTGAAACAAATTTGGAATTTTAATTCTCTTAACTTGAAATGGAAAGTGGTATAAATGTGGTAAAGTTGTTTTAACTTGAAACTGTGAGTTAGAAATGCATGTTGATTTGACAAGTTAAAGGGGCTACATGTAAGATTTTGATTTTAATAAATCAAATTTTCTTTGCCTTATTGTCAATGGGCTGAAAACTCACTTAGAAATGAAGCACACGCCTGTTTTCTCTGTTGCTTGCATCATCCACTATTCAGCTTTTAATGTGAGGTCTCTGGGTCTAGAGAATGCAAGTAGAAAATGCACTTGCACCCATCTGTGAGCTCATGGGAGTGTTGGTCTTAAAATGAGGTGAGGTCATGGCACATTGCTGGCGCGTTGCTATTGAGGCAGCAGAAAGCGATTGTTTTTGTTACTTTAGGGGCGCATTACTGTGACACTGTGCGCATTTACGCACGAGGCACAGCAGCGTAACTTCATTGATTATTAAAATCTCCTGACACGCAGACAGGATGGGTCAAGATCTAAAGTTAATAATGTTCTGTGTTCTTTTACAAATCCAAAAGCTCTCACACAGTCCAGGTTCATACAGAGAAACTGTTTGGAGTAAAACAGCCATCCTCCTGATCAGTCCTCCATCAGAGCGTCTAAATTATTTCTGTGATCATGTAACGAGCATGGATTAGTATTACTGTAATGTTGCAGTGGGAGTTTACCTGAGTTTCCAGCTCTGTCTGTTCTCCCTGTCTGTCTAATGCCGCTGTCACTCTGCCTTTTTTGGGGAGTAACGTTATTGAGCCAATATGTGGCTTGCTGCGCTGAATGAAAGGTACGGCGTCGGTGTAGATCTGCCTCTGAGACAGGAACATTGAAGTAACAGAGCCTGAACATGTCTGGAGAAAAGCCACAGCCTGCATGCTGGTGTTCCTGCGTTTATTGTGGTATTTCTGTATAAAAGTGGTAGTGTTTCAGATTATGCTTGCTCATGAGTTAAAGCAAGCACGCGTACGAGCACACACCTGGTTGCAATCCCTGTTGTTGCTGGAAACTCCATAATGGCCCTTTAAGGAAAGTTTTCTTGCATTGATAAAGTAAAATAATGTTTTGTTTTAACTCAAAATATGAAGTTGAAAGAAAACAAGTTATAAAAATCAACTTAAAAAACAATGACTAGAACTCTGTAGTTGTAACACTTTAATAACTTAAATAATTTGTCAGTTAAGGCAAAGGCCATCTTCAAGATAACTCTTCAAGTTAACTTCTATTTCCAAGTTAAACTAACTTAGATGTCTTAAATACAAAGGGTTGAAAAACAATAAACATATGAACATTTGTTCACTCTTCCTGTAAATGTGCCATGAGACAATGGTTTTATCTTTAAAGTGACAGCTCAGGCATTTCAACAACCACCAGAGGTTGCTGAAATATCCAATCTTAATATCCATATGTAAACACCTCTTTATTGAAAGCAAATCCCACTAACTTTGATGACTGCAAAATAAGTCATTGCGGGCATAGTTATTAAAATAATAACCATTGAAATGCTGTTAAAACAACTATAACCCAGACGTCTAAAATGTTTTAACCAAATTTAGCCCTGGATAGATGGATGGATTGGATCCATAGGATCATAATCCCATTGAAATTTAAGAGTATATGGATGTTTAGTAGCCTAAGTTTTGAACAATGGTGTACCGAGGTTACCCACACTGTACAAACACTGCAGCAAAATGAACTACAAAAAAAACATGTTCAGCAAAAGTTCAGATAGTTTCCCACCTTAATCAACACTACTTACCTGCGTATTGGAAATAACTCCCGCTTCTTTTTTCCGGGTTCGATTTCCGACTTCCGCTCCCCGCATTCGTGCTAGAAGCTCCATCTTGCTGTTTATTTCATCTTTGCTGTTGACCGGCATTTTCCCACAACACCCTGCTCCTGCTCTCACAGATGACGAAAATGGCGGATAACTCATCTTCGGTAGGTTTTCGAGAGATATAATTTTATTTCAGAGACACTGACCAGTTTCAGGACACAGATTAACGTATTTTTTTTCTACAGGTCGAGATTGTTGAGGGCTGTCGCCTCCCCGTTCTTCGTAAAAACCAAGAACACGAGGACGAATGGCGTAAGTATTGTCCGTTTGTTTTCCAGGGCTAAGCTATCTAATGCTAACCAGCGAACCTCAGCTGTTGTTAACAGACGCCAGGGCCTCCAGTTAAAGCACTGTAAACACCACACTCGCAGGGGACACATATTAGTTGTAAAGCGTGAGCTAGTTTAATTTTAATGCTTGCTAAACCCACTGCTACACACAGCAAAAAATAACTAGTCAACTCTTAGGGACATTTTTATAAAATACATATTATTGGGAAAGACGAGTCGAAATCCATGAATCTGACATCAGGCTGTTGTTTACAAATAGTACATTGGCTCATGATGGCAGCAACTATTCTGACAAATCAGCATTAATACAGATAGTTTATGAGATTTTATTACTCTCACATCCCAGTGGGTTTGGTGCAGTGGTTGCCAAACATTTTGGCTTAATTTTGACCCCTTAAATTTGTAGGTAGAGTAGTGAGTCAATAGATGTTCCCATCTTTGAGATTTGTCATTTAAAACAAAGTCAGAGGTCTGAAGAGGTAAAGCTATCCACTCATATGCAATATAAAAGCTAATATAAGAAATAATAAATAATAAAAGTAATTTGTGTGTTGACATTTCCTGTATTTTTTTTATTTGGTTACATTTATTTGGTGCAAGTTTTTATTTGACTTCTGTGCTTTTCTTGTAGCATTGGCTGAAATTCTAAGTGTGAAGGAAGTCTCTGCGAGAAAGCTTTACTATGTTCACTATATTGACTGTGAGTATAGTTTGTGTTACTTCTTGATTTTGTAACGGTTATTGTCACTTTGTAGGCTGAATTACATCACAAAAAAACTCAGCAAGTGTATTCTTGTTTGTGTAAAATTGCTTGTGTTTAAAGTCAACAAGCGCCTGGATGAGTGGGTCACAGGTGACAGGCTGGACATGAAGAAGCTTCAGTTCCCTAAAAAAGAAGCTAAAACGCCAACCAAGAATGGTCTTTCAGGCTCCCGTCCCAGTTCTCCCGAGAGAGAAGTGGTAAGCGCATGCTACGCCGCCAAATTTTTATCTCAGACTCCCAACCATTGCAACAATGCACTCAAATTTGACAGCATAATTTTACTATTGTATTGACAGTAGTTTATATGCTATGAGACTACATTTGACATCCCAGAATTTTTGACAGCTGCAACAGCATGTTATGAATATTGCTATGTGGATATTAAACCCTGTATGGTATAGATCGTAACAAGTTAGATTTGTATTTGTAATCAGTGGCATCTCAAAAGAATTACTAACTTTATGTTTTTACGTGTTAATCATTTCACTGTTGGAAAAACTCACGTAACTACAAGATAACCACCATTTACAGGATCACTTTACTAATGACTTACAATATGTTGCCTGCTATTTTAACAGAGCTATGTTCGAATCTACCACCAGAGAATGTGATGTGTTTGCTAGCTGTATGGGCACAGGAATATACATTTTACCCAGCATTGAAACACAAACAAACATCGAAATCATCAGTTTTTAATCTTAATTTCTCTTTACTGACACTTATTTATCGTTGATTCCAAATGACACATGCCACAGATTAATTTTAAATGATGTGTTAGATGTTATTGAAGACACTGGTCAGATTGTGTGTACAGTGAATCCCTCAGTATTAAACTGAGGGTTAATATACATGCCAGTTAACCCACTTCCTCCTCTTCCTTTGTGTCCAATTCAGAGGAAGAGTCTAGATCTCAACCTACCAGCTGCTACAGCTCCTTCCAGAGGCAAAACCCTCCCCACACCGGTACAACTTGAATTTACCCATTCTAGAAATGACTGAGACCTTGTTTAAACCTGGTGTTAACGTGCATCTTGTGTGATCATACAGCTATCGGGTCATGCTGAACTGCATGGAAATCCAGAAATAAACAACCATGACACAAAAAAGGAAGATGATGATCCAGTCGTGCAGATCACATCTGGAAGTGCTTTAACACACAGTGTATCCAAATGTTTGACAGGTGTATGCACTGGACTTGTCAAGCCACGGTTCAGCTTCAAATCTGTCAAGGTAGCTGGTATTCTCTGTTTATGTTTTAATCTCTCATGTTGTGCTGAAGAAGGATTATTAATCTATGAGCTTTCATTCTCTGCAGATGTATAATTAATTTTTTTTTAAATTGTATGTACTGATGAAGCTAACGAAGAGTCGCACAACAGGGGAAAAAGTTAAAAGTTGTTGATCCATGCTGATTAGCATTGTGGGTGGGGTCACATTTTTAGTTGTAAGTGAAGTTTAAACCATATGCAGTTGCAGCTGATCTGTTTCCATCGCATCTTAATGCCAGGTTTAAGTATGGTGTAATTTACCTTGGACTGGTTTACTCTGGAGACAATCAGAAATTTGTAAAAACCTAATTAAAGTGATATTCTGTGTCTATAAAAAAACACAGTCTCATATGTGAACAAACTGCACGTCATATTAAGATGACACTCCTTCATGAAATAAAACTAGAGTTAAGAGAGTACTCAGCTTTTAGTCCTAACATTGGTGTCCATTTAGAAACCGTGAACACATGCATCTGGTCTGGTTGGAGTCACAAAATCTTGTTTGGGATTGAAAAATTCTGATTAATTTAAGTGTTTGTTCTGCCAAATGTCTAACAATGTTTGTTTGCTGCAGAAGAGGAAAGTAGAGACCGTCCCCTTGGCGACTCAGGTATCCCCGGCCACCCCTGTGCCCTCCCTGCCAAGTTCAGCTGAGGCCTCTCAGGCATCTGTTTTTCCTGCTGTGAGGGAGACCAACACTTTCAAGTCCCGTGAAGACCATGAGCAGCTCTCCACGCTCACAACGGTAAAGACATTCCACCTGTGTCTTTCAGTGTTTGAGTTGAAGTCCTTAAGCGTTGGCTTATGTATATTTAGTTCATTTTTCTGTAACGACAGAACGGCACTGCTCGGCGACTCATCCCCGCGCAGCCAGGGAGGAAAAGAAAAGCAAACTGTGGGGGAACAGATGAGGTATGTAACATCATTATATCCCATGTTTACAGTCAGCTTATTATTTTCTCATTTCAAATGTGTATCTTATCCAATCCTTATCCTAGATGCATGACTTTATCCTCCTTTTATTATGAGCACTGCAGAAATACAGGTGCGGGACGTTAAATTTCGTCCCGCACCTAGCTATCTATAAATTTGTCTTCATGGTAAACACTACTTTCTGGCAAACATTGCGCGTTGTGGATTTGCGGCATTACGCCGACATAGTGATGCTGCATTGTAATCAGTACAGTGCACCGGGAAAGACGCTGCCAAAACTTCCAGAGAGGAAGAAAAGAGCTCTGTGTTTGGATGCCTTGCGGCGCTTTCAAAATGAAGAGGCGCAACAGTGTTTCTGCTGATAACGCCACAAAGCAAAACAAATCACTAAACAAAACTGCTATTCCCTACCATTAGATGTTTTAATAGTTTTATATCACCAGCAAGTGTTTAAAATGCATTTGCAAATGGCAGTCTGTGCTTGTGAACGCTGCTATATGCACCTTTTACATGTGAGTGAATGGTATCCTGTACAGCGACTACAAAGCCAGAGTGCATTTGTTTACACTGGAAATATAATAACATGAGGTAGTTGAAGAAATAGTAATGAACCTTTTTTCCACTTTTAATTGAATACAGAAGTTAAAATAGACATCTGAAGAACACAATATTAGTTCATTACATTACATCTGAGAACATGACATATGCCACATAGGATAAAAACAAATGGTTAAAATAAAGAAAATGCGTTATAAATTATAGGCTGTTTTATAAAAGTGTGACAGGGGATCTGTAATTTTTAAAATTTTTTATATGCTTCAGGTAGAGATTACGTGTAAGCAACAGAAGCAAATCATTTTACAAGATATTCAGTATAATTTGTGGTCTCGTTGTCAGTCTCCAGCAGAGCTTAACCATGTCCACTGGGACCACTACAGAAAGTTGCAGATGAACATTTAATATCCAGATATTCACATCAGCTGCACTGCAGGAGGACTAAACTATAAATGAAAACAGTAGCTTATGTTGTACGTGTAACTCTGAAGAAACGTTTTAATTTTTCACCATGCTTTTTTAATATAACCATCCATAGAAACCAAAAGTATACAAATATATTTGCGTATTATATTTAAAATTTGTTAATCTTATGCGTGTGTTTGCAGGTTGTGTTTGTAATGACGTTTGCAGCAGGACGTTACAGCTCCCTGTTGTTTGGTTAAATGTTTCTGAGTCTAAAATCTGTGTCGTTAAAACGTTCCTTTGGTTTGAATGTTTTAGACTAACATAAATAAACATAATGAACACATGACACCAATCCTGTGCTTTCATACATTTTCATTTTCCCAACACCCACTAATTGAATGATTATTTTCTACAGGATTTTCAGTCTTGTATGTTTAAGGTAGCGTTGAGTTGCTTTACATTGGACTGTATTGTCTCTTCGCTTCATTTTGAAATCCAGTGTTTAGAGTGGATTAATTATGGCAACTATACAATGAGGTCTATTTTTTACTTTTTTATCATGAGTCGTTTGCAGGTGTACTATACCAGAAACTTCAAATTCATGTTATTACATAGTGATGCTACATTTTAAATTTTGTATTTTAAAATATTTATTATCTTGGACAGAATAATCTAAAATAAAAGATTATAACAGCCGAAGAGCTGATTGTAACTTGGTCCACTTTGATTAACTGAGAAAGGGTTTAATGTCACTAAATGAGGCAGAAAAATGACCAAACGTAGCAGGTCAGACCTCTGCTGGATTTACTTGACATGAGCAGCTCATCTGTTATATTGAGTTGAGAAACTTGCTGTAGCTGACCTCCCACATTCTCAGCCACCTCTCTGATG